AGGTCAGGGAGCGCGTAGACCTGTCCCATTAGTAGCCGATCTCCGAGAAACAGGACTGAAACTTACATGTAGTGCACCAGTTGAGCTGAGTAGGAACATCATGATCTTCTCAGTTTCTGCACCCTTGTCGCCGGCACTCGATTGGAAAGCACCCTTTGTGTCCGCGTACAGACATCCAGAGTGCCACTTGGTATTCTGCAGAGTAGCATCCATCTTTTCCACTTCCTCCAGCTCATTGTTGCTGTCGATCTGTGCCAACATAAGACTGCTATCGTCGCGGATGAGTAGGAGGTAAGGATCTGCAATGCTGGCGCTGGTGACTCGAGGTTCGGCGCCGGTTTCTTCATCGAGCATCGGCAGGATCTGAGTGAGGCCGAGATCTAGAATTGTCAGTATGTGTGAATGTGATCCAAGCAGGCAACTCACCTCCATCGTAAGATCGAACCTCGGACTTGAGGACTTGGATGATTCTCATCTGCTTCCCCATCGTTCCAGCTTCAACGGTAAATCCAGCCGCTGGGTCAAACTCAGTGTCCTTGAGCGTCTCGAATCCCGCGCCCGTAAGAGCATACACATCTGATGTCTCATAACCATCGAGATCGACCTTAGCCACGATCATGTACTTGTCATGCTGTCCAAATGTTTCGTACTCGTTACCTACGCCGACATTTCCACCGAGAGCCTTGGGCATTGGCTTCTTGACAGACATGGTCCAGAAACCCCTTGCTTCGGGGAATTCGAACCTTCCAATGATCTTGGGCTGGATGTTGCGGTTGAGAAGGGCCAGTGAGCCGGCTTTTCCGCGTCCGACAACACATGCAAGATGAAGATCCGAAACGACGCCTTGTGACAGAGTCGCTTCTTCACTATCAGGATGGAGCGATATCTTGCCAGCTGTCAAGTCCTTGATCGGGGCGATGCTGAGCAGGGTATCGTGAATGCGGAAGCTCAACTCGCCCGCCTTACCTCCACCATTGAGAGCCTGAGCCGGTTTCGCGACTGCAGACTCGGTGCCGTACAAATCGTCGTCCTCGTCGTCTTCATCCTCGAGATCCAGATCATCCATTTCTAGCCCAATCTCCGCATCGATGAGTCTCGGTTTTCGCCTCTTCTCCTGCCCCATCTTTCTCGTCCAGCCCAACACCACAGAGTCGCCAACTTCGCTACCCACGAAGTACGCATTCTTGCCAAGTTTTGACGCTGTCGATGCACGGCTCTTGATCAGATTGCCGCCGTTCTCATCTGAGACCATCCTGACGGTAAGACCAGAGACTGTTCTGCCATCGATCTGGAACGTAACTATTCCAATACGACCATCGTTGAGAACGAGCAAGAGCTCGCCATTCTCAATTGACAATGTCTCAAGAACACAGTGCTCCAATCGTAGGTTAAGATCCGCCTGATCTGTCAAGCTGAACGAAGTGATCTGTCGAGCCATTGAGTTCACCGCCACACCGTTGGACTTGCCAGACTGATCCACATGAATCAGCTCATTCTCTCCTATCAACAACGAACCCCCAACAGGCGCTGGTAATGGGATAATCTTGAATAAATCTCGAGGAAGATCGGTAACCGAAAGAATAGTCGTCGAAGCTCGCTGCTGCAGATCCAATGTAAAGACCTTGTACGTAAGATGATCTCTCTGACCAAGGGAATGCGCTCGCTCTTGGCTAGATGATAGGATACCAAAGGTCGGTTCTCTATACTCATGCAGAAAAGCGAAATGCACGGGATGAAGCAGACTGGGATCAAGCAGCGGAAGACGGAGGACAAAAGATGGTGTATACGGTGGTTCTAATGTGTCGCTATCTCCATTGGCGACTGTAGTAGACTCCTTGACGGGTCGTGGCCCATCGAGATCCTCATCCCAATCATCCATCTCCAAGTCTTCTTCCGCTTGTCTGAATGGTAGGATCGCGAGGTTGCGCGAGCCGAACTGGAAGGCAGCGCATCGACTGCCGGGGTCGGTTTCGAGGTAATTGGTATATTCATCGAAAGAAACCTCCCATGGCGCGCCGTGCAGCTCTTCTTTCTCGTAGTAGTGGATGGAGATGGTCTCGAGGTTGCTCTTCTCAGGATCCCATACCGCCATACATAGTTTCGCAGCTTTGTATGCTATCAAGAGAGCTTCACCTCCACATTTTGAATGCTTCGTCTTGACCTTGGCCAAACCCGTCACGGTACCGGATAGTGGAAGCTCCGCGACGAGAACTAGCTTCGTGAGGTTCGTACGATCGGTTCGAACAAGCATTGTCTCGCCGCCAAGAAACGAAGACTCGAGCCCATCATCGTCGTTCGCGCGGTGATCAAATTCGGGTTCAGGCTTTGCTGTCTGGGCAGGTTGGTTCTCGGGATCGAACTCGGCGGAAATGGCCTTTGTTGTAAAGATTTGGAGTAGGGAACCTTTTGCGACAACGAGATTGGTAGCTGTAGCTGAAGTGAGAGAGATAGTCAAGGAGTGTGTGACGGCTGAGGGAGCCGCAAGCTCGGTGTAGGCCTGCATTTCAGCGAGACCATTCTTTTGTGACCGAGAAATTGGCTGCTTTGCTGTGTTCGTTCAGGTCGTTCGCGATGTTGCTTTATTGAATGTTTGGCCCAAAAGAGTAGAGCTCAAAGCTCCTAACGGATAATTGGCCTCCGTCTTCCGGATCACCCTGGCCAATAAATAAAGGTTAGTCGATGCTCCAGGGGTGAGGCAGAAGCATCTCCACTTAGCACAAACGCTAGCGTATACATTGCGTCACGAAAACACCAGCAGCTTCAAGCTTGAGCTTGACCATTTCTGATCGAAGCCACTGAATCTTGTTTTCCAGCGAAACTTCCCTCTCTCTGATTGATCAAAGCGAATCACGCTGCTACACAGATTGACTTGCTAGCGACGTCACCCTTGGTTTGAGATCGATTGATCTCCCTTCAAAATCCCCGAGATCTGCTACTTTAAAAAGAAAAACATCCTCGAGCCACGTCGCGACCCAGTCTAGCGGATTCACTTCGACTTGCTTGTTGATCATCATTTGCAACAACAGTCTTTCAAATTAATCCAATATGGCCCACGCAGGCCTCGTCCAGACCAGTTTGATCTGGGTCGCTTATGCTGTTGCTGTCGTTCTCTGTTTCGCAGCTGCTATCATCACAACATTTACCTGGCAAACACCCCGCGAACGTTCCGCCGTCGTCAGCATCGTCGCCATCGTCAGCTTGACTTCTCTTCTCGCTACGGTTCTACTACTCCCTGTCGATATTGCTCTCGTCTCTGCGACTGCCTCTGCAACACTGGGCGCGAAGAAGGACTGGGCTACTCCCGAACGCATCGATAGTATCCTCTACACTCTCAAGGTCGTCTACTACAGCTTGTACAGCTTCGATGCTCTCCTCTGTTTGATCGTTATCCCCTTCGCCTACTTCTGGCATGAGGAGTACGATGAAATTGAGGTTGAGGAGGAAGGCCGAACCTTGAGCAGCCGTTTCTTGGCCGCTGCCAAGTACACACTCTTCTTCGTCGCATTCGTCGTCGTTCTGTTCTTGCTCGGTTTCTTCGTCCCTGCTGCAGGCGACAGCTCTGAGTCGCACTGGGATCTCGACTATTTCAAGAAGCTCGTTGCTCAGAACCATGGTGAAAAGGCGCTCACCTTTGCACTGGGTCTTCTGCTCACTCTCGGCACACTGCTCTACGTCGTTTACACCGGCGCTGGCCTTGCCCTTCTCCCCATCTCGTTCATCAAGGCAGCTCCTTCAATCTCGGCCCCTCAGCTCCATCAGAATACTGCTTCTCAGCTCGAACAGAACCGCGAACGCCAGCGACAGATCGAGATGCGCAATGCTGGTCGACAAGAGGGCATGTCTCGAAAGGACCAGCGAGAGCTCGATGCTCTTGTTAGAGAGGAACAAACACTTGTCCGACGCGAAAGACTTGCCGCCGAGGCTCAGGGCGAAGGTCGCAGCAGAATCTACCAAGCCTGGCTCAAAGTTTGTGCCGTCTTCCGCCCCATCAAGCTTCTCGGTGGAATCTTCCTCCTCCTTCTGTCTCTCGTCATCTTCGTATCAATGCTCATCACTGGCATTGACAAGGCCAAGAACTCGGTTTGCAAGGAAAGGTGCGGTTACATCCTTGGTCAGATCCACGTGTTCCAACCTATGAACTTCATCTTCGTCAAGTCCGCCAAGGCCTTCCCCGTCGACTACATCCTCATGGCTCTTCTGGTGCTCTTCTTCTTCAGCAGCTCCATCTCTGGCATTGCCACCGTGGGCATTCGCTTCCTCTGGGTCCGCATCTTCCAGATCCGCAAGGGTAGAACTGCTCCCCAGGCCCTCCTCATTGCGACTGTCATGTTGGGTCTGATAATCTTGGCCACCAACTACGGTATCGCTATGTTGGTTGCTCCTCAGTACTCTACCTACGGCACCCAGACATTCTGCGCCAACGAGCCTAAGCATCCTGGAGAGCAGCCAGACTGCCGAAACCACAAGGACATGATTCACGCCTGCTCCGAAGCACTAAAGTACAAGCATGCCAAGGACGTCTGCACACCATCGGTCATGTCAACGTTCCTCAACCGCATCACAATCACATGGCCCTTCTTCGGTCTTATCGACTTCTGGGCCCAATTCGCCTTCCTCGGTGTTTTCCTCATCGTCTTCGTCACAGCTCTCTTCCGCACCCCCAAGCTCAACCTCTCTCAGATCGACCAAGAAGCCGAGGCCGACGAGGAAGAGAGTCTTCTCGCTTCAACTGGCCGACGATTCGGCGCGACATGGCAGGATGTGCGAGGAAAGGCCAGCAGCTCAAGCAACGAGTCTGCCACCAACGGCAACGGCTCACAATCCGCTGCTTGAAGTTCACGTATAAAATAGTATGAGTTAGTTCGTATTGATGCAGGCATCTTTTTATTTGGCACGACAACACGGTGGCTCGGAGTTTAGTTTCGCAATATTTGGGTATCTGTTTATCGCACGCAAGGAATGGCAAATGGTAGTGAAGTCTCGCTTGAAATTGAAATGGTTTATGCTCCTAGCGCTACCTTCTTCGTTTTTTCCTTCTCCTTTTTATCCTTGGTGAATTGTACAGCCTTGTGACTCCTCTCGTCGAACCCAGCTTGTGGTCCCCGATGCATCTCGTACCAACATCGCGTACAGTAAACGTCATCGTCGCACCCTGGACATCGCACCGTTGCGTCTTCCAAACAAACGGTACACCAGCTTTCCACATCGTCGTCGGTGTAGTTCGTCCGTGAAGTTAGACGATTCACCGGCTGGCCCGATGGTTTAGATGTTGGTACGGACGGAAGGGCGAGGGAATCTTGATCGGGGGATGGTGCGCGTAGAGCAGCGAGACGGGCGGTTATATCATCTATGTCTGCACTCCCAGCCCGATTTGAAGAAGGGATGTCGGCGAGGTCGGAGGGAACGTCTGGAAGAGCGATATCTTCTGTTTTAGAAGTAGTTTGTTCAGGTTCGGACTCCGATTTTGGATCGGGGGTTTTGGTCTTTGCGAGAGCTGCTTCGACTTCTGCCTCGTCGCGGAAGCGGGCGATGACTTCATCGACATCCTTGTTCATAGCCTCACCATCTGAATCATCCGAGTCCTCATTCTTCTTATCCTTTTCGTCTTCTGTGTCTTTTGGTATTGAGTCTGCGAGCTGTTCTAGAAGTGCTTTGACCTGTGCGTCGTCTGGTTCAGGATTAAAGCCTTCTTCAGGTTGCACGTCGCCTAGTAGCTCTTCCAGAGTCTGATCGTCTGTTTGGAAGATGAAGTCGTCTTCTTCATCTTCGAGTTTGGGAGATTCCTTCTTTGGAGTATTTTCTGGCTGGGGTGTTGACTTTGATGGCGGTTGGGTTGTCTTTGGTGCTGTCGCTGGTGCTGGTGAAGGTTCATCGCCACGGTCTCGTAGGGACTTGAGACGAGCGGCTAGTGTATCATCTCGAGTTGGCGCCTTTTTGCGCTCAATGAGATCAACTTTAATCCTAGGGCCATATTAGCTAACAGATCTGATTGAGGCCTGTAGGCGATGTACTCTGTTGATACTGGCTTGTCTTGACCTGCGCTGCTGCCTCTAAGGGCGTTTAGACGATCAAGCAGGGACTTGTCGAGATCTTTAGACATAGCTTGCAAGTCTTAGTAGGGCTGTGAGGGTGAGTCTATATGATGAGCGAGGTTGTAGATGAGATAAATGATGAAGCGAAGTGAGCTTCAGATGAGGATGGCGGGGGCGGGGTTGTTTGCGCCCAGGCTTGGCTGAGGAGTCAAGTTGAGGCTCAAACTCTGGGCGTTATTCAATGACCATACACGTCACGATCTCTTTATTAAGCGAAAAAGAGCGGACTTGATCAAACATTCAGCCTTACCGCTTACCTTGGTGTCATAGAAGGACGGCATTCAGCTTGACATGGTGCATGTGCGCGACCATGCGATAAACATCCTTGCTCTCCACTGCAAACATCACATCACATCATATCATATCCAGACAATGCATTTCCATTGTTGAAGTGTCTCAATGACGCAGGTAAATATCATACGGTCGATTATATTCCCTGCCGCGTCAATCGCAGTGGAATAGACCTTGCATTGGGGTTCAGTCACTTCAGGAATGGAGTTCATCCTGAAGGATTGTGGTGCCTCCAATACGAGATGGCTTAGATGAAGATCACCCGTTCACTGACGACATGCCTACGACCAGTCAACTGACAAGGCAACTGAATGCCTCAACTATTCGACTTGTCGTCACTAAACATCATGGCCTTGATATTATATTCAATTGCCAATACCCCTAATCTAATCGTTATCTAAACGCACTTCGACATGCACACGCGTCGCAGCCAAGACTTACGCATGCTCGGAACGTGGGCGGCGCCAAAGTTTGAGCCTCTGCCGTGCATGCATCAGCTATTTTTGCCCATCAGTAGTGATTCAGTGCCTTGAATTAGCGGCCCTGCAAATGGGTCCATGCAGCTGAGAATGCAGAAATCCATGTCTCGGATCCCTTGGATTCAATAAGCGCTAGAGAATGTTGATTCCAAGGTGACGTGGAAACATAAACCAGCCAGTCTTCCTCTTTTCTTATCTTTTTATTTTGCTGTAATGTTGCTGCTATTCACTCCTTCACTATGCTTACTATGCCGTCGCTGCGTCTGAGCGCAAAGTCGATACAGATCACAGCTGCTATTGCGTCGATATGGCTCTTCGTCGGTGTTCTTTATCACTATCGCGATATTTCTTTTTACACACCAAGTAATAATTTTCAGAGCACTACAAAACCAATTTCGAACTCGCGCGGTGTTGAATCGATAAAGCTTGGCGCACAATATTTTCTCGATTATCCGTTGAAGGACGAACCGAAAGCGATTTTTGGACAACTTGGACAACGGACGGAATTACTGCGATCTTGGATTGAGGAATTGGAAGGGCGAGACGACAGCCACGAGACAGCAGAACTTGTTGGACAAATTGTGGAAAAGCAGTTTCCATGGCTCAATTCGAAGCAGGGTGTCTCGCCGCCTCTCGCCGATATCTACGATCGTCTTGGTCTTTCGTACAACAGAAAAAGTGTGAAGGCCGATAAAGCACCAGCTGGAATCGTTATCCCCACAGGCGAAAAAACACTCCGATTCGCATGTCATCTCATCGCAGCATTGACGCGCGTCCACAAGACCACCCTCCCAATTCAAGTTGTATACGCAGGAGATGATGATTTATCCGCCGCTGGACGAAAAAAGATACAAGAAGCTGCCAATGGAGTCAAGATCGAAATGCTTGATGTTCTTACTGTTTTCGACGACAGTACATTGAAGCTTGCTGATGGAGGCTGGGCGATAAAACCGTTTGCTGCATTGGCTAGTCGCTTTGAGCAGGTCATTCTTCTCGACGCAGACGCAGTTTTCTTCCAAGATCCGCGACGTCTTCTTCGTCAAGATCGATTTAAAGAGACGGGTGTACTGCTCTTTCATGACCGATTGCTCTGGAAGAATGGGTTTGCGGATCGTCAGGATTGGTGGCATGATCAGATCAAGCACCCCAGCCCAGAGACGGAAAAGTCGCTCGTTTGGACGGAACGATACTCTGAAGAGGGTGATTCTGGTATTGTTGTCGTTGACAAGTCCAGACTTGACGTTCTGCTTGGCCTCCTCCATATTGGATGGCAGAACTCGGAGCGGGTTCGGAACGAGGTTACGTACAAGATCACATATGGCGACAAAGAGAGTTGGTGGATCGGTTTCGAAGCCACAGGATCCGAGTACGCCTTCTCACCTCATTACGGCGGTATCGTCGGGTGGCTAGGTCCTACGAAAGCCGAACTCGACGCAGCAAAGAAGGCAAAAGAAGAGAAGAAGAAGGACGAGAAAAAGCGCGAGGACAAAGAAGAAGTCCGCGTCTGCAGCTTCGTCATCGCACACGTTGACCAAAACGAGAAACTCCTCTGGTACAACGGCGGCTTACTTAAGAACAAGGCCGTCAATCAAACAGAATTCGAAGTTCCGACGCATTGGATGATTGACCAGACGTGGCATAAGGGCGGAAGCAAGCAAGCCATGAGTTGCATGGTCGGCACGAAAGCAAGTGCCTTGACGAGCGGAGAGAAGGATGTTTTAGCAAAGTCTATACAAGCAGCGAAGGACATGGATGAAAAGTTACATTTGGTCTGATAAAAGAACAGACTTGTATATTATGTATGTATGTGTAATATAAAGCATCGAACAACGATAATGTTTTGTACAAGAACGGGAGTCGGAGGTCGGAACCGCGAGATGATCGACATGGAGGATTGTGATACCTTGCAATTCTGCAACGGATAATTCCTGAAACGCGAGTCCACGGTAAAAGACCGTTGAAAAATTCCGGACCCGGCCCATGTCTTCGGCGCCGTTTCATAGAGTTCGGGACCGTCTCACGCTACCGCGCGCCGGACATGTACGAATGTCCGTATAGAAGACCGTAAGACCGCAAGACCGCGACGAAGAAAATATAAAAGGGCAAAACACGTCACACAAACACAAACAAGTTAATTATAATACAATCCAGTCAATTCTTTAATTCATTTGCTAAGCAATCGATTTTTTTGTTCAATCCATTTGAGAGCAAAATGGCACTTCGCTTACCCCTTCGAACCCGCCCTGCACCGCTCATCGCAGGACTCACGGTTGGAGCAATCGGTGTTGCTGTCTGTTCGAAAATGATGTTTGGAACAGCTTCGGCGGAATCTCGTGAAGCGCAGAAGATTTTCAAGGGGGGTTTTGCGGCGGTTAAGCTGCCGTTGCATAGTTCGGAGGATGAGACGCATGATACCAAGAGGTTGAGGTTCAAGCTGCCTCAAGAGACTGCTATTTCTGGACTCCCACTTACTTGTGAGTTTCCTGCATAAGATAGATGGATCACTGCTGACTGAGTATAGCTGCTTTGTTGACGTTTACATGGCCTAAGGGATCTTGGCTTCCTACGCCAAGACCTTACTCTCCCATCTCACCCTCTGGTAAGTCACATGTCTGTAGGCATGGACTAGGTACTGACTTTTGTAGATGAACCCGGCTATGTAGAACTCATGGTCAAGAAATATCCCAACGGCAAAGGAAGCGGCTATCTCCACTCCCTCAAACCAGGCGACAAGCTCTTCATCCTCACCACCCTCCCCGACTACAAATGGAAGCCCAACACCTTCTCGCACATAACCCTCATCGCCGGCGGCTGCGGCATAACACCGATCTACCAACTCGCCCAAGGAATTCTCCGCAACCCCGAAGACAAAACTCGCATGACTCTTGTGTTTGGCGCAAACACGGATGAGGATGTGCTGCTGAAGAAGGAGCTCGATGGTTTTGCGAAGGAGTTTCCGGAGAGGTTTAGTGTCAAGTACACGGTTAGTAGACCGAAGGAGGGGTCGGTTATGAGGAAGGGGAGGGTTGATAGGGAGCTTTTGGAGGAGGTTGTGCCGAAGGGGACGGAGAAGGTTTTTGTTTGTGGACCGCCTGCTATGGAGGAGGCGCTTGTTGGGAAGAGGGGAGGGGGTGTTTTGGGGGAGTTGGGTATTGAGAAGGGAAAGATTCATAAGTTTTAAAAAGGTGGTGTAGAGGAGAGAGTATGGCTGGTGAAGACTGGCTAGAGTTGGGGAGATGAACAGTTATCTCACTCTAATCAAGATGTATATTAGCAGTTAGAACTCATTGTACAAGCATCGCTCATTTTTTAATTCGGACTTGCACGATTAATTCTCTGAGAGACATGTGATAGAACTTGGATAAATGGGAGGGCCGCGATGGTTCAAGGTCAAATCGGGGCAACGATGAGGGTGACAAGGTAAACATACAATGGCTAATTACAGTTCTACAAAACTACTTAGTTCCCAGTAGCAATGCTGTGTCTAACTCCCAAGCTACCATTCGTCAACAGCGATCTCGAATCCCTCTCCGGCACAGCAGCCTCATCTTTCATCTCCAAAGCCGACCCATAACCTCCGCCACCAGGCGTCAGAATAATAATCCTATCTCCTGCCGCAAAATGCGACGTCTTCCTCGGTCCAAGCGAAACCTGTCTCATAGCTCCCGTAACAGGATCCTTCCTCACCCAAATATTCTGCCCCCTCTGTCCCTCTTCTCCACCCTCGAGACCATAAGGCGCCGTGACTCGTCGATCAGTAAGAACGGATACCTGCAGAGGCATACGGAACTCCATCTCGCGAACACAACCATCACCACCCCTCCACTTTCCAGCACCGCCACTACCCTTCCTAATAGAGAACTCATGCAGAATAACAGGATATCTCTTCTCCAAGATCTCCGGATCCGTGATCCTCGTGTTCGTCATGTGCGTATGGACAGCACTAGCACCATGCCAACCCAGTCCAGCACCTGCACCTCCACAAATGGTCTCGTAGTATCCGAAGCCCTTGGTGACTTCACCGGTGACGGGATCTGTACCGCCGCAGCCGAAGCTGAGGTTGTTCATCGTTCCTTGGGAGGCGGCCGCGGCGTTGAAGGCGCGGAGGACGAGATCGGCGATCTTTTGGGATGTTTCGGTGGTGCAGCCGACGGTGGCGGCGGTGGGGGAGGGGGAGAGGATGGTGTTGTCGGGACAGATTACTTTGATGGGCTTGAGGCAGCCTTGGTTGAGGGGGATGTCGCCTTTGGAGATCATGGAGCGGAGGCAGTACTGTGAAGGTGTCAGTGAAGGTCAATACTAGGAGGCTGTAAACTTACCATGATGACAGAGTATGAGCATGTCGGTGGCGCATTGAGGTTACCAGAATGTTCAGGTCCAGTTCCTGTAAAGTCGAAAACAGCATCTCCCGTCTCTTTGTCGATGGTAACCTTGAGCTTGAACGGGATACCATCGTCGTTATACTCTGTCGCTTCAAGAACACCGCCTTCATGCTTAGCGGCAAATTGTTTAAGAAGATCGCGCACAGACTGAGCAGCATTGTCCTGAATAGCATGCATGTACAGCTGAACAACAGGCCAAGTAAACTCCTTAATCAGCGCTCTGATTAACTCAATGCCCTTTTGGTTAGAAGCGACAGCAGCCTTAAGATCAGCGATGTTCTCCGTCAAAGTACGAGTACCGCTGCAGCCGGGAAACGAAGCGGGCTCGTCGTAGAGACGTTTGATCAAACCGGCTTCATCAAAGGCACCCTCATTGATCATCTTGAAGGACTCGATAGCGGCACCTTCTTGCCAAAGTTCAGTAGAGTTGGGAGGCATCGAGCCAGGAACAATACCGCCAATGTCTGCGTGATGACCACGGTTGGCGACGAAGAAGATAATCTCCTTAGGGTTCTCTTCATCATCAAACACGGGCGTGATGGTGGTGATGTCGGGGAGATGAGTACCGCCTGCTTGAGGATGGTTACTGATGATGACATCGCCAGGCTTCAATTCACCAGCCTTGTATCGTTGAGCCTGGTACGCGATGGCTGTGCTCATTGAGCCAAGATGACTAGGGACATGAGGGGCGTTGGCGACAAGACCACCGTCAGCAGAGAAGATAGCGCAAGAGTAATCTAATCTCTCCTTGATGTTGACAGAGATCGAGGTCTTCTCCATGGTATGGCCCATCTGCTCAGCGACAGTCATGAAACGATGCCCGAAAACACTGAGTGTAACGGGATCAACAGTCTCAGTCGCAACATTCTGCTTCTCAGCCTTATCAACCTCAAGGATAACATGCTCCGGAAGAATGACACCCTTGCTGAGATGATCTACCACGATTGTTTGGGTCTTGTCGATGATCATCGCAGGACCGGTGATGTGCACGCCGGGACTCATAGACTTGAGCTCATAAACGGGAGTTTCGGTCCAGCCGTGGTTCTCGAAAAAGATCTTTCGAGAGAATATTGGCGTGGGAACGGGAGTTAGACCATCGGACTGGTATTTCTTGAGCTCTTCGAAGGGACTCGAGATGTTGAGAACGCGTGACTTGCCGACACTTCGAACTCGAACATCGTCGATCAGAATGTTGCGCGATTGAGAGAAGCCGAACTCTTGAGTATGTCTAGCAGTAAAAGCAACGCCTGCATCTCCTACATTCTCTGATACAGGGATCATAAGAGAGGTATCGCTTCCCTGGTAGCGCATGTTGAGGAAGTACTCATGCTCAGTGGTCTTAGCATCAAAACCTTGAGACTCAAGACCCTGGGCACCCTTGGAAGAGAGGGACTCAAGGCGCGCTTCGATCTCGGGGACGACTTCTTCGGAGAAGGTGATGGCGGAAGGTTCTTGGTTCTCGACAACGACATCGGCGAGAGCCATGCCGTAAGCGGACAGGATACTCGAGTAGCAGGGAATAATGGCGCGCTTGATACCGAGATCTCGAGCGATGAAGACAGCATGTTGACCACCGGCACCGCCGAAAGAACCCAGGTTGTGGCTCGAAGCTCCGTATCCGCGACCTTCGCTGAGTGTTCGAATAGGTCGAGTCATTGTCGCATTTGCAATGGCAAGGAAGCCCAGTGCTAGAGTCTCAGGTGTGAATGGCTCGCCGCCCTCCTTCTCCTTGTTGACGATCTCCGTAAGAGCAGCGAACTTGTCTCTGACAACATCGCGGTCAAGTCGGCGAGGGAAAAAGTCGGGGATAATTCGACCAAGGAGGAAATTGGCGTCTGTGACAGTCAAAGGACCTCCTCTGCCGTAGCATGCAGGACCAGGATTGGCACCAGCACTGCTGGGACCGACCTTGAGAAGTCCATTCTCCCAGGACAGGATTGAGCCACCACCTGCAGCGACTGTGTTGATGTCTAATTGAGGAGTCTGGATGGTCACTTCGGCCAGGGTGTTCTCAAAGATATGCTCCAAAGCACCCGAGTATCTCGCGACATCTGTACTGGTACCGCCCATATCGAAGCCCAGCACAGGCGTTCCATCAGCGTCGTCGTAGCATGTCCTCGATAGACCGACGACACCTCCAGCAGGACCACTGAGGACACCCCTCAAGCCAGTAAACTTGGACCAACTGGTCAAGCCGCCGTCAGATTGACAGATGAGGAGCTTGTTTGCACTCTCGTCTTCCAACTGGCCCTTGAAGTTCTTGCGGAAGCCATCCAGGTAGGCGAACGTCATTGGGGTAAGGTATGCGTCTGCGACGGCCGATTGACTGCGCGGCACGTACTTGGCCATGGACTGCAGGACAGAAGAAGCGGAGACTTTGAAGCCCATTTCTTCAGCAAGCTTTGTTACTTGTAGCTCGTGGTCTGGGTATGTGTACGAATGCATAAGACCGATTGCAAGGTTCTTGAAGCCTTGGGCTTTAAGTTCTTCAAGATCAGCGCGGACAGCCTCAAGATCTGGTTTCTTCATGATCCTGACAACTTCTCCAGTCTGACCAACGACCAGCGCTGGATCTGAGGAGACGTCGATAGGACCATCTGAAGGAGCTTCGCTCGCTCCTTCAATGGTGACTCGTTCATCAATCTCCACGACAGTTTCGTACAGTTGCTTCAAGCGACGGACTGACAGATCAAAAAGATCTGGTCTAGCCTGGTTTCCGATGAGAAGAACGTCTCGAAATCCCTTTGTTGCAAGAAAGGCTACGCGGTCACCCTTCCTTTCGAGGAGGGCATTGGTAGCGACTGTGGTTCCCATGCGAATGGACTCAATCGGCTCAAGGTCTAGTAATGAGCCCTTGGGTATTGTTGTGTCTAGGGCGATCTCTAAGATCTGGCGAATGCATTCTGTGGGGGCATCGTCGTACTCATCAGGACATACTGAGAGGATCTTGAAGACGATGTGCTCTTGTCGACCGGGGACTTCGGCCCAAGCATCTGTGAATGTGCCACCACGGTCGATGGCGATGCGGATGCCTTGAGATGACATTGTGAGAATGAGGATGAGGTTTAGCGGGGATATAGAGTGTGAAGAATGAGAGGGAGACTGAGATGAGGATGGTATGATGACATGGTTAAGCTTGGACGACTTGAAGCTGTATTATATTAAACAATCCGGGGTACATCTCGCCCACGCCCTCAATGTGTAAGTGGAGTGGATTCGCTATCAGCGCCTTCATCGACGGTATTGGTCAGAATCTGCTTAATCATCGGCAACTCCAACAAAGCCGATCAATCTGACCGGCAACTTTGGACTTACCGACCCATCTCCACCGTCCATCGTCGGTATCACCAACGGCAAATACAAGCGATTACCCCAGACTCGGACCCGCAGAGTTTGAGATCATTCCATTACCCAACAATTTACAAGGATGAGCACACGACGCCCGAGAAGACTGCTTGCTGCGTGAGATGCCCTTGACGAGTTGTGTCGTGATGACTGATCTGATTGTGAAGTAGTTGCCATCGATGTCATTCGCAAAAGATCAAGTGTTCGGGGGATAAGCCTTGTCAGTCTTGTAAGTCGACGGGCAGGGCGGATGAATGTGAGTTCCCTGCGAACAAGGAACGAAAGATACCAATCACTGAGAGGTAAATGCCATTCAAATACTCTAAACTTACCCTGAGATGAATGAAAGTCATCTACGTTATTGCAAGTCTAGGCTAACATCATGTTCAGTTACCTTAAGAAGCTCGAAGAAGATAGCAGACGCCTTCAAGCTATTACCACCCACAACCAGACTCCGGAAACCAACCCAGCATTCACTCCCTTCGATGATCAAGAGACCCAAATCGATGCCCCTCCATCTCTATCAAAAGAAGAAAGCAATCTCTTCAACCCACTCTTCGATAGACAACCTGAAAAGCCCATACATGAACGATCCTCAGAGCCAGGTTTCATCGGCGAAGCCTCATGCGCTGCCTTCAGCAACAGACTCTTATCATGTCTCGACGATACTTATACCCCATCGACAGCTGGTCTGTCAAACTATCATCGAATGAACACATACGGGAGACTGCCGGTAGATCAAGGGCCAGAATTTCCAGAGAGAATGCACGTCAAGTTACTTCTAAATGTCGCTAGACGATTCATAGGGAACTACCATCCCTTGTTTCTGAAGGTTACCTTCATGAAGGAGATTGATGCTGTTTATCGAAGGGAAGTAGTGCCATCAGCGCTGTGGCTTTGTAAATTCTATGCACTTATGGCTTTGGGGGAGATATACACACATAGAAGAGGAGTGGGTGATAACAACAGAGTGCCGGGAACGAACTACTATGTTAGGTCTGTGAACCTGTTGCAAGAGAATCAGGATCTGTATGAGGAACCATCTTTGATGCAGGTTGAAGTACTCACACTGTTGGTAAGCTCAAGCTTTGACCCTCCTCTGCCGACATCAACTGACAATGGACTTCCACCAGGCCTGGGCCTCAAACATACTAGGTCGCATACGAACTGCATACTGTTACAGTGGGATAGCCATGCGTCTCGCCCAAAGTCTCGGCATGCACAGGTCTGCGTCAAGACACACCACTCTCACGCCGGTCGAACGAGAAAGTCGACGGCGAACATGGTGGGTGCTTTACTTCTTCGACCGCTTCTCAGCATCAAAGCTTGGCCAACCCATCACTGTCAGAGACGATGATATTGATGTTGAGATGCCAAGCATGGATGGTCTGACAAAGGACGAGATGGCGGAGTTTCTTGATCCGCAGAATCTCATTACGAATATTAAGCTTGCTAGAATCATTGGAAATATCTGTAAGTTGTTTATCTTCTACCTCTAATTTCTGTTGTGTTGCTAATATCGGTGGGTAGTGACACATATTTATGGCATACCCAAAGCTACGAATGGTCTCTATATACATCAAGTCCATGGTATCTTGAAACAGCTTCGAGAATGGCATGATGAGCTTCTACCAGATATGCGCGTCAAAGAGCGAGGTACTCCTCGGCCTGTCGCAAGTCTTCATCTTGCGTACAACCAATGCATTATACAGACAACTCGCCCCGTTCTACTTCACCTGTTCAAGACACAGTTTCAGCTAGGCACTAAAGTGAGAGAAGATGTATCGCCACGACAGAATGTCTCATCTATCACTCTTGCTTTGGCAGAAAGTTGTGTCAACGCTGCACAAGCATCGAGCCGTATCGTGGAAGGCTTGTTCCTTGACGGTAGCATTGCGACTTTTGGATACTGGGACGCACATCACATATTCTCAGCAGCCATGATTCTCATCATGTCAGCAGTTATGAAACCCACAGCCGTCAACTCAGATCATCTAGAGACCCTGCTAAGTGTCTTACGATCTCTGAAGAACGACGGAAATATCCCAGCAGTCGACTTTTGCGAGAGACTGTCAGACATTCAAGCTAGAGTGTTGAACCTACGGGCTACAGGCCGATTAGACGGTATGAGCTTTGATAGGCCACCACCAATTATACAAACCCCCAGTTCCATGCCAAAGGAAGTCCCACAAAGTCAAGACCAAGTTTTCCAAACACCAATGAGTATGGATAATGGATCTGGAGTATGCGAATCTGCAATCATTGGCTACGAAAACGTCGATATCCTGGGGAATCCTCTTATCGGTAGTTTCTTGGATGGGAATCAAGTACAGTGGCTAGATGTTTTATTCACGGAGGATGGAACGTTAAGGGAATTTGCATCTGAGATTGAAGAGCCATTTCTATTCAGGTAGAACATATCAAAAATCTCGCTGTGGCTACATTAGAAAGTCTCTGAATCATGGTTCTCAGTGGAAATATGGAAGCGCTATTAACAGTTCCTCTTGCGAGCACATCCATCGCCGTATCCTTCGTCGCCTGTATAACAAATTAGTCGGCATTTTCTTCAAGTGTCACAAGCACATACGCTTCTGTAGGCCAGCATCCTCCTGTCCCTCGGCACCTAGAAGTAATGTTAGTTAGGCGTCTCATAAAAATCAGCTCTCCAGGGTATAGTACGTTTAACCTCAATGTTGCTTTCCTCGACAGGAACTGGGATAGCGGCACCCATGACTGATGCCACAAGGGTCATGGTGGACAAGACGGAAAAGAAACGCATACTGAGATTTGAGTTGTATATCAGAATAGAGTTAGAGCTTGGAAAATAGTTACATAGATTTCAAGGCCCATTGGGACTATTTATGTTTCTCATGTTATGTGATTAGGTCCGGCTGCTTTACCACGGAAAGGGGCACATATACGGAGCCCGTTACGAAATGCAGAGTACTGACCATGCAGCGAGGAAGGGATTTCATGAATCACCCCGTAGGGATATTTCTTTGTAGATCTTCTGGAACGGAATACGAGTCCGCCGTGCTGTAGTTGAATGTCAAGTGCAGGGAATGCATGAAGTTGGGGGCGGGATCTGAATCCATGCTGGGTGTGTGCATGCACCTGCTGGGGGCAATCCATGCATATATCTCGGCAATCCGGCATCTATGATGGACAATCATCTGACGTGTCCCTTTAACCAGTTAAAGCCGACCCCAAAGATTGGACGGGGAGTTGATCTCAGTTTTCTATGAATTTTAGAAGCACTCCTGTAAGCTTACATGAAAGGTAGGCCGATCTCACCTTGGCATTTACCCAGGCAATGGTAGGGGTTTAGGTAGATTTAGGAACTTTTAAAAAATCTTAGGATAATTTAGGATATTCATTGTGGAATCTGTGATCAGTCTAATCTAAAGTTTGATTTTAGGCTTGAGCAGCTCAGTGTTACTGCCGGCCAACAAAAGAATAGGGAACCAATTCCACAGCTATCAGGGAGATGCCTGTGTCGATTCGGGAGTAGCACAGCGCAGATTAGCTTAGGCTATAATACGATATCGCTATTAGGAATGATTCAGTTATTGAACCTGATCTTTACTTGTCGAGGCGTTGCTATGTCCTAAAAACTCTCCAATCAGATCTCCATGACCATCAGGATACGCTGGCCCTAAAGTCGGATGGTTCAAATATCCAGGATCCATTAGATGGACAATCCTCCGACTGGTAGCCCAGCTCTCCAATCTACCCCAATTAACGCACTGATGAGGCGATGTGAAGTTTGCGGTTGGAATACGGCCATCCTGCCGCCATTTCATCGTCAGAAGCTGCATATCGCCTTGACACATGATGCTCTGTCGAAGCATATCTAAGCAATGATCTGGATATTTCGTCAGTGAGAAGATGCGGCAAGAAATAGCCAGTGAACTCACGGTTGTGGTACTCATTCGCCCTCTTTTGTTCTTCTGTGATATTAGGGAAGTAGTAATCTGGATACATATAATGATGAAGGCGTTTCTGTAAGCAATATGTTGTAAGGAATGCTCAGGCCCTATGGAGAGAACTTGAGGATGTAAACATACAATGCAGTGAAGATTGTGGTAAACGTTGAGTGTCGCAAAATAACCTCCATCGGGCAGCTCGATGGCCTGCTCCTTTCTACCAGGTATGTGATTCATCTCATCTTCTTTAATGCGAATGTTAGAGTCTCATGACACGTTAGTCTGGGAGAACATCAAGTGGAGAGCAAAGATATTTACTTTTTAGCATTTCCTTCCAAGCCTCATCTAGCTGGGATGACGGTTTGCCAACATAGACCGAGTGTTTGTGCTGGAAGACCTGAGCCTGTGGTCCAGGATTAAACGGGACTGATAAGACTGTGTGAGAAGGAAACTGAAAAGCGGATTTGATAACTTACTGTACGCGACTTCTCTCTCACGGGAATTCCAGACAGGAACTACGAGGAGTAGCATCAATATGGTATAAACAATAAAAATACCCGTGTGTATCAGAATAGCTTGCCATGAAAATAGGTTCGAAAAAGTAGCCTTTCTGGGTGGTTGTATGAAAGGATGCGTTTCAGTTTGTGACTCAACATTTGAATCAGAGAATGAAGACCTATTTGCGTCTTCTGATAGTAAGGCGTCTTGCTCCATCTCCTTGTTGAAGGACATGATGCTGTGGGCAGTGAGGAGAAGGGAGATACGGAACTGAAAGGGAGTTGGGGAGGATCTCAAGAACCGACTGCGTAAAAGACCAAAGCACAAAGATCCAGCGTCTGTGGTTGATCTTTGTCAAGCGTGAAGCCCCCAATGTCCAAGTGGGGAGGGTGCCTGTCTTGTCTTGTGCAACCCCGACTACCCTGTCAGATCTCCGCAGTAAGAGGAGAACGATTTGATGATAGCGTTGGAGATATCTACTAGGATTCAACCGATGTGACACAGTAGTCCAAGCTAACTAACCCAATCCGCAAGTGGCATTCAATGCCACATCCAGTGCCCATGTCATGGCGTGAAAACCATGTCGACTTGAGTCCTTCAAAGATTTATGGAATGAAGTCTGATTCCAAGTTCTCATTTTCTTTTCGATATTTCTTGAATCTTTGCTCTCTATAGACCATTTTTAATATCATGGAATCACTCTACAAAAGGATTTCGCGAGTCTTGTCTCGAAAGTGGAAGTACCAGCCTCTGGTAAATCATGAGCCAGAGTAAATTTCACGGCCCATCTTAGATACTCTAGCCAGCTTGCTAATATAATTACAGATATATCGAAAAAGAGAATGATTCCAGGTACAACTCGTGTCTCATCAGCATCTGCCTCGCTGCAGTCTTATTCATGGGAATCATCATTTCTTGGGGAGTTTCACTGAAGAGAGCTCCAACAAGCTGTATACAACCGGTGAGACGAATGGAGTGGAGGGAACTGAACAAAACACAGAAGCAAGACTACATCGGTGCTGTGGTCTGTCTAGCTGAGAAAGAATCGCACTTTGAGCCGGGGAGTAGTCGCTACGATGACTTTGCCTATATGCATGTCTTCGAAGGCACTGTCACTCATTACGCTGCTTCATTCCTACCCTGGCATCGATACTTTATCCACACATATGAAAAGGCGTTAACAGAGGAGTGCGATTTTCACGGATCCTTGCCGTAAGTCTGACAAGTGCCTCTTGACCCTCGTCTATGAAGATCGACTAACGAATTTGGTCTAGGTACTGGGACTGGGCGTTGGACGCCCATGACCTTGCCGCCTCTCCGATATTTGATCCTACCGATGGTTTCGGTGGTAATGGTACAAGCCGAAGCTCTTTACCCACGATGTTTGGGGGCCACTGTGTTACAGAAGGTCCCTTTGCGAATGCAACCCGCCACTGGCAGTCAAAGTCCAATGGACATGGATTCGATATCTTGAAGAATCCTCATTGTCTCAGCCGAGGATTCCAGGGGGGTGAGAAAAAGACCAAGTTGGAAAATCGAGTCACGATCGACGCTATCAACAGCGTGCTGAGCCTCCAATCATACGAGGAATTTGTTGATGCTCTTGAAGTCCAAGCTCACAACTCGATACCCCAGTTTGTGCGAGGGGACTTTTACGGGTTGACGGCACCGAATGGTAAGATCACGGTTGTCTCTTCCGTGCAGTAACTTCTGACACTATTGTTGTAGATCCTGTGTTTTATCTGCATCACGCCCAGGTAGATCGGTTATGGTGGCTATGGCAGCAGCAGGATATCGAAAGCAGGACCAAGACCTATCAGGGTCCTAGACAGAATATCAGGGTACATGCCAACGAGTCCCTGTCGGGATCCAGTTTGGACGATGTTATCTCGCTGGGTAATCTGTCAGAGCCAGTTCGGGTTCATGAAGTAATGGCCACTCAGTCGGAGGTTCTTTGTTACCGCTATTGAACATGTACAGATCACAGGTAGTGTGATAGTGGACTACGATTACGTGCTCACGGACCGTCGGCTAAACCCTTATGAGTAAGCCAATAGACGTGTGAGCATTGCAGCAAGCGTCACTCTCCACATATGCAATGAACACTCGGAGATCGGCAGAGTCGACAGGGTATGTAAAACATGCACCCAGCGACGTTTAAATGGCCTAAAGCGGACAAAAAACGGAAAGCCTCTAAGACACCAGCGCGAGGTAATACTCATAGCGGTCACAGAAGATCGCCATTCACCCACAGCTTCCAAAAGTTCTTGGGGGCGGAATTATGTAACTCAAGCCGGTGATGATCCTTGATTTGCACTTTTTTATGTTATCTGACAGTAGGTTACGGATCAAGCGGCAACGGTATCTCCTGTGATAGCTACTAAGAGCGGTGATGCTCTACGAAACTGCATGTCAGCGGCTAGTAGAAGCCGAAACTGACGGGGGAGGTTTGGCAGCAACATTGACCAACCCTTGGAAGTGAGTGCCACAATCCGCTTTTTGGGGAAGAGAAAGCTAGACAAGTAACCTGTCGACAAATCCTAAATTTGTTCTAGTCGATAAAGAAAGGCTCTATAGTACGAACAACCAAGACAGAACAAGGCTTATCTACCGCCCTCCAAAATACGTCTGCAATCCAAACAACCACAGGGGCCAACACTGCGAGGGCTAGCAGTAGCCCTGACTGATATTTCCACTCAGTAGAGCTGCCTGTCAAGCCCTGGAAACCAGGTACCATAGAATACCCAAAGAGATGCAAAACAGGGCCATGAACTAGATACAATGTAAATGAGATCTTCGCCAAGTATCGAAGCGGGCGTGATGTGAAAGGTTTCTGGAGCAATCTATCTCTACTCAAAGACCAGCAGATCAGGGTCGCGCCATAAGATTGCCAATAGATGTATCGATCTGTCAGTGATGATAGCAATAAGTAACCGGGTGTAGAGAATCCCGCATTTCTGGCTCGGGGGTATGAGCTCAAGTATAGTCCGAGCAGAAACAAAAATCTGGGGATGATTCCTTGCCAAAGTGAGAACCGTAGTGGACTTCGAATTGTAGCAGATTCGCCGCCATCACTGGGTTGAGCTTCAGAACTATCATGACTCTTGAGGCTCCTCTCGGCGAGAAATACCCCAGCGAAGAACAGATACATTTCCCATCTTCCTTGCTGCAGCGCATACAGACACAAGAAGATGATTGTTGTCCCTCGAACCCAGACACGGGCTCTTGCTAAGGCGAGAAGTGTGAGATAGACAATCATGGAGGCGCGAAACTGGATTGGAATCGTCCATAGATGACTATCATATTCAGACATCGGGGACTTCCAACT